AGGATAGTGCAGTTCCAACATCTCTTTCCGAGAAGGTGAGTGAAATGTGCATTAATCCGAAAAATAACGCGTATGAGAGCTGTAAACAGTTTCGGTCAATTTCCTCGAGTGGAATAATGTGCCGCAAAAGTTTGCATGTTCGCACAGTAATATCGCATTTTCTCGAAATCGGTGAGGTGTTGAACATCAAAACGTGGCATGTGGGTAGGTTACTTCTATTGGAAAGCATTGTCTCTGAAGTTTATTGAGATAAAGTAGCAGAAAAAATGATCAGTCCATTCGAGTGTGCCAGCGTAGCCGCTAAGGTAGTCCGAGAACTGATCATGCAATTGAGTCTCACGATTTTTTAACTTTTCTTGCGGCCTCACAACAAGACTCCCAATCTCATGGTTTTCTGGGAAATATCATTCCAAAATGAAATATTACCTCGTTGAATAAAAACGCAAATTTTGTGGGTAAATTCTTGTCATTGTGCCTGGAGAATCTTTGACTACTTTAGCCATGAAGTTGTCTTAGCCCAAAGAAATGACTCAGTCTGCTTATGTTTCGTCCCAGTGATGACCTATTTTCTGGCCTCTTAATGTCATCAAAGAAAAAGCGGCATCTAATTTGTTACAAGAGGGACCACACTAAAGCAAGGTGATATTAAACTGATATTAAAAAAGCAGTTAATTCCCCTAATGGAAAATTGATCGGGAAAAAATAGAATCTCACTAATTTTTTGTAGAATCTTCCGATTTTTTTTCATGAGTCTCCAGATTTTCCTTTATCGGGGGTTGGCAGGTCTGTATGAGGAGCTAAATACCATTCAAATAAAAGGTGGAAACATTTGGAATACTCCCAGAGATATGATGATATACATTTGCATTAATATCTTTATTTGTGTGTATTAAACCTAGATTGCAGGAGATTGTACCTCAAATTTTAAGAGATCAAATGAGTAAAAGTACGTAGCCTTATATACAAACAAAAATGAAATGAGAAAGTACTGTAACTCATAATTTACAGAAGTCCCCTTTTGATACCAGCTAAGCGCTGATAATGCCATCCTGCTGAATTAAGATTAGACTTGACTTGAATAGAAAGCTAAATGAAACAAATATTTATGTCAGTGAAATGCCAATATATATTGTCTTTGTGATTTGCATTGGCGTGACATACATGTATAGCTGAAGCCATGAAACAGAAGAATATAACTGAAAGAACTTCAAAACTCTAAGTGAATAATAATTGAGTATTATGTTTGAATCTTCTTAGCTTCATCACTGATGTGAAAGAACAGTTCAGTTTATATTACCTTGATGTCAGTTTGTCTTGGACTCTCATTAAAATAAAAAATAATATTATTGGCTGGCTATCTAAAAGACAATACTGTCCTTTGGCTATTCTGAATGACTGGAATATGTATTTTAAGTCAACTCTCTCTCTCTGTCAGCAGCTTGTTCAGGTCAACAATTTTAAATTTGGTTTGTAAAACCTCAAAACAAATTCGTTAAATTCGATTCATTATTAATTTGATTGTTGAGAATTTTATTTCATCCATTTGAATGATATTTTTTGAAATAGCTGCATTAACCCTTGTACTGATGATCGTCATGTCAACATAGATGATTGCTCTTCTTTTTTGATAGCCAATCCTTACTGTTCTGACCTCAGTTACACACATTCACAAGGCTGCAAATAATTTTTTTTATAAGCAGGTCATTTGTCAGGTCAGAGACCAGGCAGACCAGACCTGGCCTGACAAGGAAACAGTCTGGTCGGACAAAAAAAATTCCAAGTGAAAGAGCAAAATTAAGAATTCAAGAAAACAACCTATTTCACTGCTTTAATTGCACAATATTAATCACAGACAGGAGCTTTAACAGTTGTATCAGTTCACTGATCAGTCTTTACTGACTTCGCACTTGAGTTGAAGCCGTTTTGTCGCGACCCTTTTTTTGTAGGCTTTCCTTCTTTTCAGATTTGGCCATCTTCTTTTCGCCCTGTCCCACTGCTTTGCTTTTCCTCGCCGAAACCTTGGTCAAGATGTTTCTTCAGAGATATTAAATCAGTTCGTGGGTCGCACTGTAACAGCAAAAAATCCATTTTTGCTGTCGAACTCGAACTGAAACTCAAACAATCGAGCAATAATATGATCACGCAAACAATCGACTCATATGCGACCACCGACACAATTTTCTCTCACACTCTCTGTTTTCCCGCACAATGTAACAAACAGCTATAATCGGATAGGCCGGGAAAAAACCGAGTCAGACATTTAGATCATGCAGATTTGTCACTGTTTTACAATTGAAACTGTAAACTTGGAACAGAAGTGAACGGAGATGCAATCGAGAATGACTACTTGTTGTTCATGTTTGACAAAAATGATTGTCTGTTTAGTTGGAGGCAATATTATTTCAAAGCCTCCTGAGTGCACTGAAGTGCTGTTTAGGTTAAAATAATACTTTGGAATCTTTTATAATCTTTTTGTCTTAGAAATCTGCAACATTGGGCCTCTTTATATACACATTATGTAAAGGACTGATTTGCAAATGCAATAAAGTCCGACAAAAACTTGCTGATTATTGCTCTGAATGGGTCTTATTAGTCAAAGGAACAAAATAAAATAAAATAAAATATTAATAAGAATATTAAACCTGAGTCGGGTTTCGTTTAATGAAGTTCATAAAGTTGGAGTCTTGATAGTTTTTCGGAAATGTGACATCACAGAAACCAGAGCGCCCGAACCAGCACGTCTACAATTCATCGCCAAGAACGTTAAGCCGAATTCTTTACCAGTACAATTAAACAAAAATTTAATTCTGATTTACTTTTCAATAACAGATTATTATTTTTTGATTGTCAATGTGTGTAGCGGAACAATGTTTTGCCACAAGCATCATTTAAGTATGATGATTAAAAGTTTAATTTGGATCAAAAGTGCCCGGTCAGAGTGACAGACCAGACTAATATTTCTCCGTTCAAAACGTCATATTTACCGGACAATTGTCCGATGACCGACTGTTATTTGCAGCCTTGCATTCAGAAAAGTCACAGGTTTTCGGAAATCTCCCATGACATAAATAGGTTTATCTTGTGTACTTAATTTCTCCGATGTTTCGTCAAAAGAAGTTTAAAATTGATCGGGGGAATTTTGCTGCCGATAGATGACTCCATAAAAAATGTTCATTTTCTTTAAAAATTGGATTTCAATCCATGGGGTGTAATGCCTGAAAAGCTTTTGTAGATGTTTTTTCAATAACATTGGCTGCTCCTCATGTAAATTCCAACACCTCCACACGATAAAGGTGTTGGAACATATTCAAATTCGTAAATTTGGGTTAAAGTTTAGGAAATCTGTGCTTGTTATATTTTTGTTTTGGTGACTCTACACTAAAATTATAATCAAGCCCATCTAGTAGGTGCACTTAAAGATTTTCTAGGTTAATCTTCAGGCTTCTAACGCTATTATGAAGTAGAGACAAGCAATCCTGATCATTATGCATGGTATTTTTAAACTTTGAGAAGCTATGAGGTGAAAAATTCTGGCAGCGGGCTGGCTGATTGCCAAGGTAACAATCAGAGTCTGTATTTAAACAAAACAGATCCAAATCATTAATACTAGAAAGTTTTTGAAGATGCTTTTTTGTTGGCAATTGGCTCTCCAAGCTGTTATTGAACTGACCATGGGTTCAAAACAATATCGACCATCACTGACTTAACTTTCCTTTTTTCCTGCTTGAGGACTCAGGCGTCACATGTTCTTCTTATTACTTGGGATTAATGTCAAATTGTTAAATAGAGAAGGACCAAAGAAGGCAAGAGAAGATAGAAAGTTGAGAGGGTGAAATTGGATGAGATAGGATTGGATAACGATATATGAAATGAGGATAGAATTGAAAATGAAAGGATAGGAGATTTCTTATGCATTAATCTTGCTTATTACTTGCTAATTCATTTTTTAGCATTGTAATGATGTTGATGAGGACCAACCAGGATATTCAGAGTAGATAATATAGGAGACATAAGAGCTCTGTTGACCATGACATTTAAGCTCCATTTTTGCTGGATGAACAAATGGAGTGAACCAGCCAGGACTCTCCCAAGATGATGACTGTGTTATGGATCCATATGCTCATGGGGATAATCCAGGAGGTAAGTTTTTTTGCTCTTTAACTAGTTTAAACATTCAATGTCATGAATTTTGGCAAAAAGTAGAACAAAGGGCATTATTCATGAAGATGTAGAAGGTTGTTGTCTTGCTTTTTTGGTGGATGGAGGGTCATGCTTGCTGATTGGTTGTTTCCTTTTATTAGAAGTCTTCTGGGGGCTTTTTTCAAATAGCAGTATGTGCATATAAGGTGGATCACTTACTTGGGGCCTTTTGCCAACATAGGCTGCTTGTCCATTGTTCTGAAGGTCGTTGTAATTATACCAACCCTTTTTAAATCCTGAATGAAGAACCCTTTTTTCACACCAAAAGTGGTTGTTATGGTGATAAATAATGGCAGTCAACTCATAAGTTTGATTTCCAAAGTTAAAGTCCAATTTTGCTGAACTTTTTGGCTGAACAGGCCTGTTTTCATCTTTGTCTAACTCCACTGGTAGAAAAAATGGGGCATTTAAGAGTTTAGAAGTGTACAGTAGATTTCCATTGCATATGTTTGTACCATTCTCATCCTTTTGAATGCAAAGATGTTGTGAAATGCTGTGTTTTCTATTAAGGTGTTTCTCAACAACATTTACTGGATCATAGGCTGAATTGGAGATGTCCATGATGTTGATACAGCTGTTGTGTAGGAAGTAGAGACTGTTGGTTGTGGTATGATTATGCTGATGGTGTGCATTTTTTGAGCATTGAATGGTCAGTGAATGTTTCATGAAAAGTGCATCCTTTTCTTTGCTCAACATTCCTTGTGATAGTGCATCAATTATCTGAGAAATTGATGCCATTTCTCCCAGACGAAAATTTCTGTGTCCATTTCTTGTGTTGTTTTGCAAGAAATTCCACAGTGTCATCTTTGATTTGTGAAATTGTCCTTGCATCCTCTTAAAATGATTGCTTCAAGGAGGGCATCCATAGTGGAACTGGATGGATTGAAGTCTGCGGTTGCTGGTGATATTTGCCTTATGAAAGAATGAAAAAAAGACTCCAGAAATGTGTCTGTGTGACAGGAGTTTGAAATTTGTCCTGAGCCATAAGTAAATGACTGGAATGATTGCAAGGGCTGCTGCTGTATGCTTATCCGTTGATGATGGCATTGCTTTAAATTGCATAACCCTTGATGTTTTCCACATCCCTTGCACTTCTGTTTAACAGGTTGCTCAGTTGACTTTGAAAAATGATTAAAACCAGGGTGTTGTGCAGCTTGTACTGTTCTATGCGACTGGACTCACCTTAATAGTTTGGAATTGTCAGTGATCTCTTTTGCAGTTTTCTTTAACATCTGGACATTTCCAGACATTAGTGTTGGTGGTCTGCCTTCAACTGCATCAGTCCAAAATGTTTTGAGATGTTGAAGAAGATTTTGAATAAACTGTTCATCTCTTTCAATAAGGTACACATGTTCTTTTTAGTGTCCAGCACACAAAATGACACTTGGTTGTATTTGTCACATACATTTCAAGTTGACACTGAGGAATATAGGTAATGGGGACTTTTCTATATGGGTAAGGATTTCCACCCATGTATGGACATTTGATCTCAACTACAATTTCACCATCCACAATGCCATTTGGAGAAACTCCAAGCCACGTGCAGCCCTTGTCATCTGAGACAACCCACAATCCTGTCTTTTTATACTCCTTGCATGAAATTGTACTCACATAATTATGTAGCAATAGCGTGGTCCTCACACATTGATCCCCATGACATTGCATCATTTAAACTTCTCCATTGTCCGCTCCACCGGTTCTAAGTTTCTTTGCATACTCCTCCATTGCCTTATTCCCTCCCCAACCTAAAGCACATACCAGCCTACTTCCATTTATTTTGCCTTTCCGTGAATTTCTCCATGCATCTGATCCTTGCCTATAGAACCTCTCTGGCTGATTGCTATCACATTTGGTTTGAATGTCCTGCACTATTTTTCAATCAGATTTTGTTGTAATTTCTGGTAATCTAAGTATTTGGATGGTGAGAGGGTCGTTGCTTGAATTATTGTTTTACTTTTCTTATGCATGTGGTTTTCTTTGTTGTGTTGGTATTGGTAGTTGGGCAGTCTACTTTTAAATGACCTGTCTGCCCACAAGAATAACACTTTTGTTGCGCAAGCCATGCAGAGTCATGTGAAGCCTTGTTTGGACATTGTCTTGCTCAATGGCCTTCCTCTTCACATCTAAAACACTTGTCATTGTGCTGAACCGAGTTTAAAATTGCATCTTTTTTTATGTGGCTGGTCCTCATTTCAAAGGCTTGCAGCATCTGGCGTATAGCACTTTTCTATTCCTCCTTTTTTGGGTTAAGTTGATCAATGGCAAGGAAGGTAATGCATCTTCGCTTGCAAAACGTCTTGCAAATTATTTGAAACATTTCTCTTGTCCCTTGATGATCTGGTTCACCTTTTTTGGGAGTTAAATTGACTTGGGCAAGAAGTTCTGTCCACAGTGATGCCAGTTCAGTATCTTGGGCTAGTTTGCTGCATGTATCATTAAGAGAGTTTTTGTACCATTTTCCAGGGATGAAAATGTTCATGTCTCAGCTTAAAGTTGAATGTTTTCAAAAAAAGAAGTAGGTGTTGTTCATTTTGCTTTTCTTTGAGAACTTTTACTAGCTTATGCCCATATCCAATGATGGTTTTTGGTGACTTGATATTGATATAGTCAAACACTTGATCCATTTGTCTGAGGAGTTGCTTTTCATCTTTAGCTGAATGAAAATCGTTCACCTTGTCACAATTTGTTACTTCATAATGTTGACTTGGGCTACATTTAGTTTCTGGTATCGTTCGTTCTTGAGCATGAAGGATCTTTTTTTTCTTTTAAGGGGAACAGATGTAAAGTTGGGTGTCACCACTGATGCATAAGAGCCAATAAATGCTTCTTTAGTGGCTTCTTGCTTCTCAGCTTTCACCAGCATATCTGTAGCTATGCTAGCATTTCCTTCCATGTATGCCTTCACTGTAAGTTCTCCACCAGAAATCCTACTTCGCTGTAGGCTAAAGTAGTTTTCCACATCATCTTGGTTAGTTGTTCAGGGAACAATAGCTATGTCTTGATGATTTATTTGCAAGTAGCTGACTAAGCCTATAAAACCACTGATAGAACGAATCAGGTCCTTGTATGTATGCTTTGAAATGAACTGTTTCCAGTGCTCTTTCAAGTTGTTCTTTTGGCCTTTTGATGAGTCTTGGATGTAATTAAGCCATCGTTTGTAGAACAAGAGTACTTGGAGGAGTTGGCGTAATGCATTTTTATCCAGTGAAATGCTGTTCATTATCTTGAAATACTGTGCTGCTTTTCTGATGTACTCTCTGGTCATTAGAGTTTATTGGAAACCAAACTTGCAATTTGACATGATGTCGTCAGCCACTTCATTACAACAGGTTTCAACTGCTCGTTTAACAGACATTTTATTTCTTGATGTTAAAAAGAGGTGCTTAAATGACATTTTGGTTAGACCACGTTCAGCAACATCCATGAGATGAAGTAAAGAAATGTCAAATCCTTCGTATGTAAGTTGGTGTTTCTGTGAGATAAGAAAATCTCTTAGTTTTTTTATCATATGAGGAGGATCGGACAACCAGAAGATTGGCTTATTATCGTTGTGGGGATTGTCTGCTGTCCAGTTCACAGGACCTTGTTGGTTAAAGAGGGCAGAACTATGAGTTGCCTCATCACACACTCCATAGAGAACTTGAACTGTCTTTTCTTTTCCTTTTCCAAACTTTGTTTGACTTAACTCGTGTATTGTTCTCCACACACATCCACTAAGTATTTTTGAATTTATCTTATTAAGTGGGAAGCTAGCAACAGGCCATGTAAAATCCCCTTCAATGGAAGACCAAAAAAACTGCAAGATGATTTTGGCGAGAGGTTTGGTTTCTTGAATGACTGGGCCTTCCTCATCAGAACAACAACTTTCCTCACTAGAAATGTCTGTCTCAGTAACTGAAATGCAAGTTTCACTGCTTTCATTGTTACATATGTTGGAACTGCTTTCCACGTCTTTTATTGCTTCAGTGAGACTGCCTGGAATATTGAAATCTTCAAACCCAATAAGTTCATTTGTCCGTGCACAAACTTTTATGCCTTTCTTTATGCCATGTTTCGACAGCGAGAGATGAGTTGCTGATGATCCAAGCTTGTCAATTTTGTGGGGGAATGTGCTGATGTGAGATCACGAGAAAAGACATCTTTTTTAGGTAATTTACGAATGCACTGTCTAAGAAGGTTATTACATGGTTCACATCTCAACTGTGTATTGCTTGAAGGCAATACCACTTTACACTTGCTTCCATTGAAATCAGTACTTCGTACAGTTTTGTTGATGGTGCTCATTTTCTGTTTTGGATTTTTCAGGGTATGGGATACATCTACATGAAACATTCTTTTTCCGTTTTGGTACTTGTTTTTATGGTTGTATTCTTCACATGCAGATACCCATTGTTCTTCAAAGACCCCATGACATATTGGTAGAACTTGAAGGCTGTTATATTGTGACAAGATTTCTTCAGTGAGACTTGTTAAGGAGATCTTTTTATGTGGGTGGACAAGATACTGGGTTTTTATAATTTGTCCAAGTGCTATTTGTTTAGCAATAACAGAATCTTTGAGGAAGTGAACTATTAATTTTTTGTTACTGGTAGCCAAGCCATTAATGAATGTCTTTTTCGAAAGAGAGAGGGTAGATTTCTTGTCGCCAAATCCCACGAAGAAGTCCTCTTCTTCTTTGGTGGCTTCCAAGATACTTTCAAGGACTTCCTCTGGTTTAATTTGATGTACCTTGCTTGCCTTGCCTTGGTTTTTGCTTTTTTCTTCATTCAATTTCCCTTCTAATAGCCCTCTTACCATTTCTTGCTGTCCTTCATATGCTTTCCTCTTCTTTATTAATTCAACAAATGGCCCTTTGCAGTCCATGCAGATGAAACATGTTGCAGAAGAAACATTGTCGCTTGTATACAAATATTCATTTTCAATAACCTTTGAATTCTGTGGAGAACATTCTGCAAAAAAGCAGCAAGATACTGCACAGTTAACAGATGTTCCATCATTTGGTAAGCCAATTAAATGTTGGTTGCAAGGGAAGGCTTGGGTGGTCTTCACTGACTTGCTGCATGATAAACAAGTCATGTTTGTGAGGGCATGTCTTGGCCCTGAAAACTTCTGGTGGCGGCGCTGATCCCTGTTGTAGTGCACATTACACACTTTAAGGGTTTCAACTTCAGTATTGTGAAGATGGACCCACTGATCATCAATTTCATAGAGACCTTTGAGACTCTTGATACACTTTGCTGCTGTCCCACATGTATTTTTGCACCCAGCAATGGCGCAACTTTGAGAAGACGTTCCTTTGAAAGAAAAGAAGTTTGCAGTCTTATTTAACTTCAAAAGAGAGACAGTAAAAATTGTTTTGTTCTCTTTCACAAAAGCACAACCATCATTGAAGTTTCAGTGCCGAGAAGATGAAACAAAAATAGATCTAAATAATAATCGTGCATTAAGTTGGGCTATATTACCATGAACTCTTGAAGCCACTATATTCTGATACCCTTCCTTCAGGAGTGTTAAATTTAGAGTAAAAGTATTTTCCCTCATCTGATCATTTCATTAATTCTCATAGAACTTTTCTTTTGTTTATTGATATTGATACTGTAGGGAAAAATGATATTTGTTACTATAGGACTTAAAGGCTCGAGATTTGTCCCCATAAATGTGCAGCTGTAACATAATAAAATATTACCAAGATCAAACAGTGGTTTTACATGTGACTGAATTAATTCTTTCTACGTAGCAACATTTTGTACTTTGTAGACCAGGTCCCAGTTGTTGAAACATGCATGGGGGATAAGTTTAGGGAAATAGAAAATATTGATAATGTATTCCACTGGAGAGGGATTTATCCAGTGAAGGGCACCTTTCGAATAATTTTCCCTGATGGGAATGGTCAAAAATTATATTGTAATTTTGTGCCCTTCCCCTTGATAATGTCAATATTGAAGGGTACCTTCTCCTGTTCCTCCTTTGATAACCTCCTTCTCATTTGCTTCACAGGGATCCACTTGGATGTTACTTTTGATATCTGTTGGATTGGAAAATTGATGTTACTTCTAGTTATTACAATATTATTAATTTATATTATTTCACAGTTCATAGCAGTTAATTTATGCACTTACATGTATTTTAATGGGATATGTTGCTTTTTATAATGAGGACACGCTGGTCATATCAGTGAGCAAAGAAAATTGCATCAGATAGCGCATGATTAGTGGATTTTGTGATTGGGCCAGCAAATTCTGTTCTTAACTTACCTGATGATCAAGTGATGTTTTTTGGAGGAATTCTAATTATAGAAGCATTATAAGAAAAAATTGTTTTTATTTCTTTATAAATTCATGTAGATAGAAAACTTTTTTAAAAGCTGATTTGGCAATTCTGCTGATAAGAAATCTTGTTAGCACTACTTAAAATGACTCTCAGGCTTGGACTTGCGAGGTGCTGGCAAGCTGTAAAACAAATTTTCTTTGCACCCTGCAAATCTGTTTTAAAAGTGTTAGTCTATATGTAAAGATCCTGTTGATTTCCTGAATGTAAACCTGATTAATATTATTAAACAGTATTATATTATAAACATTAAAAGTTGATATGTCTACAAAATAATGTTATTCTAACTGGTGCAGTATTACCTTCTGCAAATGAGTTGTCATGGTTAAACAACTTGTGTATATCTTCAACTGGATCATAATCTTCAATCTGTATAGTAAAACAATATCCTGAATATGATTCTTCTGGCATATAATATTGCATTAAAAAAATAAAGTTTGTAAATTACATTAGGTAGCATTACTGACCTTTGCTTTATTTCTATAATGAAGTGGCTCCTGCTTTAACAGCTCATGAGAGGCTGCAATATGCTGGTGATATTTTCTTTGCAGTAGAGCTCCTTTTCTTTTCTTGTGATTGTTTTGCCTTAAAGAAGATCATGATGGTATTAATAATTATTTTATTTAATGATGGTTTGAGTATAAAAACAGAGATGAATAATTATTATAAATTAGAGATCAAATTATGTACCCATAAAGATTTTAGCTGCAATCCCATTGCTGTTCACACAGATACCTACCAAGTGTCATCTATAATTAATTTTATATTATTATATATATATCTATATTATTAATTTTCGTAGTATATTAATATCAGCCACAGTAAAATCAGTTGTATAAGTGCAAATGAGGTCTTCTGATGTCTTCTACACACTGGGCATCTACTATACAGAAAGTGTAATATGAGTTCATGCATTCTGTGCCATAGTAATGCCTTTCCTGTACTGTTCATCATAAGCTGTGATTCATGTTTTAGATTTTTAATAAAAAATTTTCAAGACTCTCATTAATTATTGGAGGGTGCAACAGTAGTGAATTTTTTAACACCTGTATCATCTTCAGAAGTGTTTGGTTAACTTTACCAGTTGTTATATTAATGACAGCCCTATCAGTTAACACAGTGATTGACTGTATTACAAAATGGTTAGCTAATGCTAGGTAGGGGATGGGCTGGCTACTTTATTATTTGGGAATGACCTGTAGCTCTGTAAATTATCTGTCAAGAGTGCAAACAAAACCAGTAATTATTACACTTATTGCAGTAATAACTGGTTTGACTGTTTAGTTATCTGACCTTGATGTCATTTCCGTTTGGAGTAGGCAGTCTTTTCAGTTTTTTTTTTACAGCTAAACACATTTCCTTTTTCAATGTCTTCAGTTTCTTCCAAAGAATGACTTGCATGTTTGCCTACAACAAAACAAAGCAAGAAAAAATGTGACAGAAAAAACTCTTTTTCTATATTGCAAAAGTGTGAGGAGGGTGATGATATTCATCGCATGAAAATCCTGCAATTTTTTTATATCCTTAGCAATCCGTTGCAAATTGTTTTAAGATGCGGACGCCCGAGGAAACACATTTTCGATAATATACCATTGAAACGCTTACTAGTGTCCGTTTTCTTGGCTTTTTCTAGTTTTTTTTTCTATTAACTCTGTAAAGCGATTAAGGAAAAGCTACATACCCATCCTTTGTACCGATCCTCCCTCCTGATTCTCCGCATGATGCCCTAAAAATGTTAATAGGGACCTTAAGCATCGACAACTAAACGGACGACGACGACGCTTCCCAACCGAGGCAGACTGGGCCAAGGGTTTCGTTTTCGCCGGGGAAAACGAAGTTTAAGCAGTGCAGCTTCCCAGACGGACGACGACTTTTTCTTTGCGAAGAACTTTGTCTTGTTACAGTCTTGTTAGGGCATTCAAAGACCTCCGTAATTTGCATTTTATAAGGTATGAAGATGGTTTAATCGACGATGGCGAATTCATTGTTCTTTAGGACCTGGATTATTTGATTGTGGAGCCTTTCTCTTCGTAGCGCAGCTTTTGTTTTTGTTTTGAAATGAAGTTAAACCTGTATACCGATCTCGAACAGCTCTTGACTTGCAGTTAAGCTAAATTTCGGCTGCTGAAGAGAATTCAGTGCTGCTACAATGTTCTCCCATATTTGTCCTCTCTCAGGGCTCCTCATAACCACATCATGTTCCAGCTGAGTCCACTGGAAAATAGTTGCCTTTAATAGCGGCTAAAAACAACATGGGAAATTATTAAATCTTAGTACGAAAAAATGAACGTTTATCCTATAGCACAACCTAGAATGCATGAGTAAACATAGGACCGTAAGGGAACGAACAGCAGCTAATCTAAATGGTTCGGAAGATAGCAGAGGAAAGCTTACTTGTCTGTCCGACTTGTTGTTCCGCCATCACTCGGGTTTTCAAACAAACCGAACCTGAAAAATAAATTCAAGTTAGCAGGCGAAGAAACCGACAAAGTGTTTAACATTTGGATTCTGCTAATCCACAAAGAATACATTTCTATTTGTACTGAATGACAAGAGGGGGAAAGAGTCATAGGCGTACGGGCCGGGGGGGCGAGCGGGGCTGCAGCCCCCCCAAATGTTGGGCAACTCAGATTTTTTGGGCAGCAAGAGAAAATTTGGGCAAAGCCAGTTTTCAAAGACGTTTCCATGTTTTTTTATTAGTCTAAAGAGAGAAATATTTTCTATTTTAATCTGAAAAAATCCTCAAGTCAGCGTAATAATCCAGTTACTTCATCTCGAGACACTCACAGTGGTTTCCTAGCACGTGATGAGTTTCTGGTTATAGGGAAGGGTATCATTTGTTGATTTACATATTTATAGTTTTTTTGTTGTTGAGCACTGTACTGCACTGCACTAACTGGAATGGGCTCTTTCCAGTCGTGAATTGATCAGAGTAAACTTCCGCATATCTTTCTAGAATCATCTCCGCTCGTAGAACAGTGTATGGCAGATAGCATCAGCAACAGTGGGTGTGAAAATGAAGAAGTGGCTGACTAGTACTCAGCTCGAATTACGAGAAGAATTAGGCGCGAAACGTCCCCAGCGGCGAAGAGCGAGGAGAAACGGATGTTTTCGCAGGCTAGAGAAGAATACTAAATTTGTTTAAAAATCTATCAAGCAATAATTTATTAAAGTAGACCGAAATGTTTACAAAACTGCTAACAAGAGCGCCTCGATACATACTAATGAAATCCTTGTCTCTAGCAATCGGCCGGAGCTATCTCGATGATCATATCTTTTACACACGTTTTTAAAAAGATTGAAGCTACCATGAGGTGAAATTGCATGTCAAAAGAGCTTCGTTTTCTACAAATAACGGCCAAACATCAAGATTTTTTTAACCATATTTATAACGATAAAAACTTCATCCCAAAATATCCCAATAACACTCCTATAGATTCCTTTTTAACTTCACGAACATCGAGGCGACTATTGGAGAAAAAAGCTCCCGTGAACAATTTTGTAGGAACAGTTCCCAGTGCCGAGAAATATTGCTGGAAGTAAAATAGACAATGGCGTCATTTCGTTGCTATGACAATTCCGACGTCATTAAAACCCTGCTCATGATAAATTTTCATCTTTACTAGTAATAAAACTATGGTAGCAATTTTTCAAATGTTTGTCTATGGCGACGTAGTTATTCTCAAAATTGGGAGGTATTGACCCTGAAAAACTGTCATAGCATCGAGCCACCTTCAAATGCCAGTACGGCCTACATTATTGCATCGTATGGCCCTCGTTTCTTTTCTACTGTTTCGTAAAAATTTGGGCAACTTGAGAGAATTTTTTGAGCAAATAGTTTACCGCCCCCCCCCTGGCAAAAAATTGCCCGTATGCCTATGGGAAAGAGTGATTTACACGCAAAAAGTATAGTTTTATACTTACGTTTTAGCGACGACGGCAAACCTCCCTGAATTACGTCGTCGACGAAGGCTGAACGACGTTTTGACAACCTTACGCATGCCTAGAAGGTTCGCGCGGGAAAATTTCACTTCCGGTCGGCGTCGTCGTCTCATTTCGTCGTCGATGCTTAAGGTCCCTAATGTTTATCAAAAACTTTAGCTCACGGCACATTAATATGGTGATAGATTCTGTTTAACTATTTACAGTATAAAACCATGTTTTCCTTTGTTTCTGGTACGAAGAAGCAAAGAGAAAGGCAATGTGAACTTATCTCCATCATGAGAAATGAATGTTTTGACAAAATTATCGTAATTTGTAGTGAAAAGTAGCAATATAATTAATCTATAATATAATAATATCCTTGGTTATGGCGCGACGATATGATTTAATACGCTTTATTAACTTTTTGATGCGTTTGACTCAAACGGGAAATCCTTTCAAAACCCTTGAAGATTGTAAACCGTATTCTATGAAAAAACACTTGCTTCTTACATTTGTTTAGTTTTAATAAATTGTTTAAGGTGATTCCCTAGTAAAAGAACCTAACATAGATTGTGGATGAAACTTGGTACACTGATGTAACAAGTCAAGAAGATGATAAAAAGGTAATAAAAAGTGGGGGTCACCGTGCTCGTTTTGACGTCACAATGCCGACAAATACGGCTATTTTGGACCCTTTGACAAAAACCGCGCGCAGTCCAAGACTAGACAAAAAGGAAAGATTTTTTTCAATGATGCATATGGTATCGCACAGAATTTGACTTCAATGTATTGTTTATCCACTTACGTACTAGAAAAATGCCTTTTAATGCCCTTGTTTTTACTTTACGCTCCAAAGTAGAATTAAATTGGACACGCGTTATTCGACACGTGATCGCTCAATCCGTACAATTTAGTAAAATTGCCAAAAAACTGAACATAGATTTGTGCCAATTTTTTTCTCACCGAAAGGAAGCACTGTCTTTATTAAAATCATGAAATAAAAAATGGGGGTCACCGTACTCGTTTTTGCGGTAGAGCTGCAGAAAGTGCGCACCAAATGCATTTTTCCTTGATTTTTGCGAGAAGACTGGCGCGAGTTTCAAAATAGAATGTATGCGAAAGGGGCAAGAAAGTATTAAAAAATCCGTTTTTACAGAATTTACATCGAGATATCACATTTAGGACACAATGTGGTAAAGAAAGCGTTTAAATGAAAATCAAAGTGAATAAGCACAAATTAAACATCCACTATCGAGGTTCTCCGTGAGGAAGTCGAACTCAGCATCACGCGTACTGCTTACGTTATGCACATTCCCACCACATTGAGTCTCACCTCGACAAGAAACAACCGCAAGCAAAAATTGCAATAGCGTTTCTCATCGGTCAGCTTCATTTTAGTAATGTTACTTCACATGCTCTTTATTACGGAGGCCATCTTGTTATGCGCAGTAAGAGATGCGCAGTGCAAAACCAGGGAATCACCTTAAACAATTTGATAGTGTAGTATGAACATCATGACGCTATGTTTCGTGACCTGTCCACGCCATTTTCGCATACATACATACATACTTTATTTGTCATGTAGGTCAGTAAAAAAGGCAGCTAAAGAGCTGATATGGACCTACAAACTGAAAAGTATCTACAAAAAAGTAAATAATAATATTAACAAACCAATGAATTATTTACAATGAGTAAAAAAAAATAAAAAATACCTAGCGAGATAAACAACAGTTAATTGACTGTGGAGTTAAAAAATTAATAAAAATCAGTAAAAAAATATGCCTTAATATATATAATTTACAATATCTTTGTTTATTCCCTGTAAACCATAGCTAAACCATTAAAAGTTATTTTATCTAAAATGTCAGATTTATCTTTAAGAACAGATTTAAAAGAACCAATATTGGGTTTGCTCTTTAAGTACATGGGTAAGTTATTCCATAAAATAGACGCACGATGAGAGAAGGAAGATCGAAGGAAGTCACTTTTAGGGCAACGCACGTATAGTTTCAGACTGTCCCTGAGATTTCTTAATGGAGAATGTTTAATAAATAGAGAATTTATACCAGCCGGAGCCCTATTGTAAAATGCTTGATAAGATATGGTTGCAATCCTCTTTTTGTACATGTATGATAACGACTTCCATTTTGTCGCTGCCAGGACCTCAGTGCTAAGAGTAGAATTCTTTATGTTAAAAATAAATCTCGCTGCTCCGATGTGAATGTCCTCCAGGGTCTGAAGAGATTTTCAAGATCCCCATAATGCAATTGAATACGTAATACTTGGAATGATACCTTTGAAATAAATTGACTCTAAGATGCGACTGTCGAGACCTTTTAAGTGTTTCAGTTTCTTCACTCTGAAAAGCGTTTGCTCAAGGATTTTATATGTAGTGACCAGGAGAGTTTATTGTCGATTTGAATCCCTAAACATGTAGATTTAGAAACAAAGGACAACTCCTTTTGCCCTAAACATATTTTCTGTAAGGGCCCGATGAATTTTGATTTAGATAACAACATCAATTCGGTTTTTGCAGGATGAATAGTCATGAAGTTATCCTTAGCCCATTTGTTTAAGTCGGCGATCGCCTCCTGAATTTTAGATAAGACTTCATCAACAGTATTACCAATACAAAAAACTGTGGTATCATCCGCAAACATTTCAACAGAAGCATTCGTTGTGGCTTCAGGTAAATCATTTGAGTAAATACTGTAAAATCTGGGACCGAGCAAAGACCCCTGAGGCACACCAGTATCTATTTCCAACAATTCTGAGTTAGAACCATTTACAGTTACA